GCTGAGGTGGTCTCTGACGTCTCGAATTGGACCTGTCAGTTGGGTACCTCTCGGTCGTCCATCGATTACTTTGTCCTCTCCTCCTCGCTCAAGCAGTTTGTGGTGAGCTGCTCAGTTGCGACATGGTCTACCTGTACCAGACCGCACCGCCCTGTGGTGTTGAGCATGTCTGGCCACCCGCGACAGGTGACAGTTCCCAGACTCAAGAAGCCGTCGGCGCTCCCTCTCCACCGCCCTGTTGGGTGCGACCCTCGCCCCCTGGAGTGGGATGACTTGCTTGATCAGCTTACCCAGGGGGATTGTACCAAGGACCGTTTGGATGCTGTCACTTCTCTGTGGGTTCAAAGAGCTGAGGTGGCGCTATCCCGTGTATTTCATGTTGATGGGGATCCACGGTACCGAGGCCGAGGAGGCCCCCCCAAGGTGGTGCAAGTCCCTTTGCTCGGCCCCCCAGCCTCCACTCATCCCAGGGCTATTGGGGAGGGCCGTATGTGGCGTGTCTTGGAAAGGCGACTCCAGGACATCGTATATCTCTGGCATGGGCCTGCGCCCACCTTGGGGGGGATAAAACAAGCGGGGAGCCTCTTGCGGAAGCTCGTGCACTACCAGTCCCCCTACACCGATTGCAAGCATTGGGCTTCTTGGAGAGTTCGGGTTCTGGCCGTCAACCCTGCCAACGTCTCGGAGCTCCAGGAGTTGATCTGGCAGGTCCGCAAGTGGGCCCTTCAGCACGAGCATCATGCGGCCTCTGAGCGGGCCCGAGCCTGGCGTGAGTGGGTTCAAGATGCTTTATCTGGGAGCGCTCGACTGGGCCACCGGTTCACCAAAGAGGTTCCCAAGTGGGCTGCATCTGGGCTCTCTTGTTTCTCGGGGCCGTCTGGTGAACCTCTGGGGATTGCTGCTGAAGCCGATCATCGGGCTCAAAAGTGGCATCAGCATTGGGGTGTCGGCCAAGCTTTCCCAGAGCCTGATTTTGACTGGTGCGATGACGAGCCAGAGCTGGAGGCCCCCACCCATGAGGAGCTCTTAGCCCTTACCAGGACCTACAGCACGCACACGGCCATTGGAGTCTGTGGCCTGCATCCCCGTCATTGGTCCTTCCTTGACGACGGCGCTGTCGCGGTCTTCCTACGGATCTGGGTCGAGATGCAGCGCCTGGTTCACATTCCGAGGTGCTGGGCTCTGCTGCTTATTGCTCTTCTACCGAAGCCGCCGCCTGAAGGGGGAGATCGTCCTATTGGGATCTTCGCGACGCCTCTTCGGTTGTGGTCCCGTTGGGCCCGATGGAAAGTTGCTGGCCCCTGGGAAAAGGCCAACCCTCGGTTGTTCTGGTATGGTGACTCAGGGGCCTCATGTGACGTTTGCGTTTGGAAGCAGAGTTTCAAGGCGGAGTTGGCCAGGGACCAGGGCAGAGCGGCAGGGACAACCCTGCTCGACCTGGTCAAAGCATACGAGCACGTGCCCCATCATGTTTTAGCTGCAGCTGCCCGTCGGCACAAGTTCCGAGGTAAGACCCTTCGCTTCCTGCTCGCATCATATTGCCTCGACAGAATGGTGCTCTTCCAGAACATCGCCACACAGGCGGTGGTGACGCACCGCACGATTGTCGCGGGCTGCAGCTGCGCGACTTCCCTGCTGCGTCTGGTGCTCTTGTCGCCAGTGGATGCCGTCTCTCTTCGCTTCGTGAATGTCGAGGTGGCGGTCGTGGTGGATGATCTGCAGTTGCAACGTATTGGCGAGGCGTGGGAAGTTGCCAGGGAACTCAAGGGGGCCGAGGACCTCTTGGCGGCTGAGCTTTCGCAGATCGGCTTGACCCTCTCCCTGCCCAAGAAGCACCAGGTGGTCATCGGCCAAGGCATACGGAAGGTGTTTAGGAAAGTCAACCCGTCCTCGTCGAGGTTCCTCACACGCTCGGTTCGGAACCTGGGGCTGGACTTTGGCGGTGGAAATCGGCTTTCTCATTCGGTTCGTGCACAGCGGCTGGGCAGGATGGCGTCTCGGATCCCTCGGTATAAGCGGCTCGCGAAAGCTGGGGGCAAGACGATCAAACTGGTGCAGACTGGCCTCAAGCCTGGTATGCTCTGGGCAGTGGGAGTTCACGGCATCAGCAACACGCACCTGCTGAGGGCGAGGCAGCTGGCGCGCGCGGGCATGGTCTACAGGCACACGGGCAGGTCGCTCTCATTGGACCTCATGCTTGCTGGGCCGCAGGTCGACCCCGCCTTCGAGTGCAACAGGAGCCCGATCTTCCTCTGGCTGCAGGCGATGTGGGACGGATGGGCCCCCAGAGCAGATATGGCGCGACTTCTGAGTGGAGCATGGGCACGCCTGTCTAGTGTTCCTGTGTCTCAAGTTTGGTCTGACATTCGCGGACCTGCTTCTGCGCTAGTTGCGACACTTTTGCGGTTGGGTTGGTCTGTATCTGACCCTTTTCATTGGAAGACCCACCGAGGTCCTCTCGCAATTGAACAGATTTCCCCGAAGGATGGAGGTAGGTTAGTTGATGAGGCCACCGAGCGGTGGGTGTGGCGACAGGTTCTCGCGAAGCATCCCTCGTGGGTCTCGCCCTGCCCTCATCCTCCTCTCGTGGAGCCCCTGAGGTCCCTCCTCCAGCCTCATTCTATCCGAGGCCCTGACTGGACCCCAAGGCATCAGGGTCTTCTGCGGTGCCTTTTTGCAGGAGGGTTCTGGTCGCAGGAGCGACTGTACGAGTCAGGTGGAGCCGTCAACCCGAGCTGCCTTGCCTGTCAGAGTGCTGGATCTACCTGGCACCGATTCTACGATTGCCCCCTGCATACTGAGTTTCGTCGGGATTACAGAGCTGGCAGTGCCATGGCTGGTCAAATGCTTGACATGGCTCGTGCTGCTGCGGTGGATACCTTGCTTTTCACGCGCTTTCTTGTCCCTGACCCTGCTTGGCTCTTCCCGAGCCCCTGCCTCGAGGAGCGAGTCGTGTGGACGGTGCGGTCTCCCGACTTGCTGCTCGATATGCACGTGTTCGGTGATGGGTCGGGGAGGCACGGACGTTTCTCTCGCTTACGGCGCTGCGGATGGGGACTCTGTTCGCTTGACGACAGCAAGCGAGTGGTTGCTCGCCTCCATGGCCCTCTGCCCTGTCTCATTCAATCTGTGCCAGCGGCTGAGCTTTTCAGTTTCTTGATGGCGCTGCGCTATATGGGAGCTCAGATGAAGTTTTATACGGATTGCAAGCCACTCGTGGATGTCTGGCGCCAAGGTGTTGGAGCAGGCACCGCTGCGAGTGACCCGCTTGCCTTACTATGGAGGGAGGTTTGGAGGCTTGTGTCTGACCGTGGGGGTGAGTCGGTGGAGGTTTCTCACGTCAAAGCACATACTCCTGCCTCTGCCGTAGCAGAGGGACGGATTTCAGAATGGCAGAGGGTCGGCAATGCCCAAGCTGATCAGTCGGCTAAATGGGGTGCCGCCATGCATAGAGATTCCCTCCAGCTGCGTTCTGCGCATGGCGCGTCGCGCAGCGCCATCCGCCTAGTTGCTCAGTTCTGTACCAGGCTGGTCGCTCGGATCGGCACGATCACGCCACGGGACGCTCAAGCGCAAATACTCGGCCGTGCCATAGGCACGATTGAGGGGGGACTCGGTCCCCCGAAGCCGCACTCGCGCTTCGACCCTGCAGTGACGGTGGTTGCGCAAAGGTTCCGATGCATGGTGTGCCTTCGGTCAGCGAGGACACGCTCGGTGCTTCGCCAGCTTCGTTGTGACGACAGGACCAGCTCCCACGCACTTCACCGCGCGGGGCCCTTCCTGTTCTGCTCTCTGTGCGGGGCTTTTTCGGAAAAGAAGAGCCAGGGTCTTTCGCAGGATTGCTTGCCGATGAATCGTAGGCAGGGTGTCCTCGTGAGAGACTCGAGGTACTACAGGCTGCGCAACCTCATGCGAGGCTGCCATCCGCTTCGGTCCCGCGAGTTCGTGGGCCCTCCGATTTTGCTGCGGAAGCGCAGGCTGCTCGAGTCGGCCGAACTGCCGCCTCTGCCTGCTCTCTCTCCTTCGGTCGGGACTGGGAGTGGGGGGGTGGGGGTGGGGTGGACGGGGCAGGTGTGCTCGCCGCCGCCCGCTTTCCAGGCCGATCTGGCCTTGTGGGACGGCCTTGCTGGCTTTCCCTTTGCCAGCGTAGAGGAGGACGACGGCGACCCATCCCACGGTGCGTGGGATCGGGTCGAATGCGTCCCCTGCGCTGGCTAGAGGTTTTTCAAACGAAGGCTGGTTCGCTTGCGGTCAGTCTCTATCAGCAAAAAACCGAAGGCCTCAAGTTGCCCTCCATTTCCAGTGGGGGGGGTACCGGAGCATCGAGAAAACACATATGGAGCCCATACCCTCCCCCAGCCGGAAGTTCGAGTCTTCGGGTTGCGTTGGGGTGGTCTGGTAGGTACTCAAGCACCCCCTGCTGTCCGTGACTCTGCCCACGTGTGGCTGGAGTTGCAGGAGGCATGGCCACCTGCGATCCGACTCGGTGCGCTTCGGTTCGCCTGCGGGGCCGCGAGCCGGGCGCGATTCCCCTCGGATCGATCCACCGTCAGCGGCCAAGGAGAGCCGGAGCCAGGCGCGGTGATCCGATCTCGATTCGATGCGCGACGATTCGTTGGCGATCCGATCCGATTTTTTGAGTCGATCCAGCTCAGGCCTGGGAGGAGGAGGACTTGGCATCGCTCGGACGTGTGTATCTTTCTCGGCGGGGGCCATCGAGTAGCAGGTCGGGCCATCTCGCGACAGAAATGCGCGTACGAAACCGAAGACATACACCGGCAACGCACGTCCGAGTACGAGCGAGGGCGAGAGAAGACTCAGGTCGCCCGCAGGAGCGCAGGGATAGCCGCGCTGGGCTCCTCACTCACGCGGCCGGTCTCGCGCATTGGGGGGCCGTGTTCATATACATGGTTGGGCTCGTGCGTCCTTGTGTGGGCCCCCTAACGAGGGAAGAGAACGGGGAAAGCGCTCTTGCCCGCTCCCCCCCGCCCCCCCCCCGCCGTCGAGGCAACCCTGCCTGGGCGCGGCCCATCGACACTTTGAAGCTGGGCGCCAGGAGGCCGTTCGTGGTGTGCACGGCGAGCAACGGGGCCAGCTCCTCGCAAGACCTCCTGCTCGGCGCAGAATCTGCGGGGGGCGGGGGGGGGAGACACCCCTGCCTCGACAAGTGCTGCGCCTCTCTTTCTCCTGATGAATACTCCGGGTGCTCCTCCCTCCTCCTCCTCCTCCTCCTCCTCCTCCTCCTCCTCCTCCTGCTTCTCCTCCTGCTTCTCCTCCTCCTCTGCCACGCTATGCAGGAAGAACGGGAGGAGGAGAGGGAGAGGAAGAAGGAGGAGGAGAAGAAGGAGGATGCCCTGGCGGACCTTCTGTTGGGAAAGCCCCGTGGAGCTACTTTTGGAGCCATATGTGTTGTCTCCTAGGGGCCTTCTTGGGGTCTTATTGGGGCTTTCTGTCGGGACCCTCCTGTGGCGCTATTGGGGCTGTTTTGGCGGGGTCATTGGGTTCTCGTGGGTCTCTGGGGGGGGGTCTTAGGGCGATCTTTGGACCTGCGGCTCACAAGGGAATCCTACATGTGAGTTCCCCCCCGTAGGCCGACAAACACATTGCCTCTGGGGACCCTCTTGGGACGCTCTTGGAGCACTCTTTGGGCCGTCTTGGGGCCCTTGCCTCTCTCTTGCCACCTTGCGGCCAGTACGAGGCCTCAGCGGCCCAGTCTTGTGGGGGCTCCGAGGGCTCTTGGGGCCGCCTTGTGGACCTTTGTGGGGCCTCTCGGAGGCATGTCGAAGGTTGCCCTGCCCGGGCCCTCGTCGGTGATCCTGAGCCGCCCGGTAGGCCCATCGGAGGCCTCTTGGGCCAAGAGGCTCTCCGACGATCCGCCGTGGGCGCCGTCCGAGCCACTGGGAGGGGGCAAGGGGGGGGGGGAGACCCTCCCCGAGTAGGGGGAGATGGGGTGCAGGCCACTGCGGCGCTTAGGCCGTTGCGGGTTTCTGTTGAGTCTCGTTCTGGGGAGTTTTTGCCAGCGGGGGCGTGGGGGCACCGCGTTTTCCACCCAGCGCCGTTTTCACGGGCACCTTCTTCACGGGTGTGCCGCTGGGGCTGCTACTGATCATTTTTTCAACGCTGCCGCTTGATGCGGTAAACTAACACGCGGCACCGCATATGCTTCCATAGGTTGAGTAGCCATTTCTTTTAGTGGGTCTACTCCAAAGCTAGGGTGTCCCACCAACCAGTTCGGGAAGATGGGGTTGAAGGCTCGTACTACTTACCACCTTTGCCTAGAAGATCTGGAACAGCTGGAGCATCTGGGTAGCTGAGGCATGTGTGTGCCTCCTCCTCCTTCTCCTCCCATCCTTCCAGAGGTGCCGGCTGCGGCTCCGGCAGCTCAATGGTTGCGCTTTCTGCCCACCGGTCCTTCGCGGATGCACGGCTCTCTTGCTTGTTTACCCAAAAGGCCCGTTTTACCACTTGTTCCCCAGAAGTGCCTGCGAGCCTTACGAAGTTCCAACCTACTTTAGCCTTGACCACCAGAAAGAATTTCGAGCACCAAGAAAGTACCACAACTTCATGGTTTTCACGTGTCGAGCCCTGGGAGGCGATGCTCGTTTAACACTGTTCCGATACTTTTCTGGATGCCCGAAACTAGTTCTGGGATGCAGTCCTGAAGTACGATGGGAACAACATAATGCGAGCCTTGTAAGCCCTCCGGGTCGAACGAAGGGGGGGATAGGGAAAGAGGGGGGGAAAGGGGGGATAGGGAACCAGGAGGAGGAGGAGGAGGAGGAGGAGGAGGAGGTGGAGGAGGAGGGGGGGGGGAGGGGGGAGGAGGAGGAGGAGGAGGAGGAGGAGGAGGAGGGAGGAGGAGGAGGAGGAGGAGGAGGGGGCGGAGGAGGAGGAGGAGGAGGAGGAGGAGGAGGAGGAGGAGGTGGGGAGGGGAGGAGGAGGAGGAGGAGGAGGAGGAGGAGGAGGAGGAGGAGGAGAGGAGGAGGAGGAAGGAGGAGGAGGAGGAGGAGGAGGAGGAGGAGGAGGCGGAGGAGGGGAGGAGGAGTGGGGGAAGGGGAGGAGGACGGAGGAGGAGAGGGGAGGGGGAGGAGGAGAGGAGAGAGAGGAGGGGAGGAGGGGGAGGAGGAGGAGGAGGAGGAGGAGGAGGAGGAGGAGGAGGAGGAGGAGAAGGAGGAGGTCGAGGAGGAAGAGGAGGAGGAGGAGGAGGAGGCGGAGGAGGAGGAGGAGGAGAAGGAGGAGGGAGAGAGGGGAGGGTGCGAAACCTGCTGCGTTCCGCTTGTCCCGGCCCCGCCGCCAGGCGGGCGCTTCTCCATACATTTGGCGCCCCTCTGCGCTGGGAGGCGCCAGGAAAACCAGCTACGCTACGGTGGGTTCGCGTCGTGTCGACCGGTGGCGACCCCGCCGTTGGCGTTTCGGGGGCCTTGAGACGGGGGTCAATGCAAACGGGGGTCAGCCAGCCGCGCATACTGGCTGACCCGGGTTTGTGAGGCCCTGCGTTGTATGTTTGTCTTGCATTGCAGTGTTCTGGTTTCCTGCCGACCCGGGTCTGATATCGACCCGGGCTAACAGATTCACAGGCGTTCAGTGTGAACGCCGTTGGCGACCCAGCATCGGTGGGTGTTGAACGATCGTGCGTTTCGGAAGCGGCCGATCCTTCAAGGTTGAACGACCCGCGCGGTGTCAGGAACCAACGCCGGGGTCGACACGAGACGAGCCTGCAGTAGCTGATTCGCTAACCTGCCCCTCACCACCCTGAAGTTGGGCCTCTCCCTCTGCAGGAGGGATATCCAAAAATAGTAAAAGTATAGTTTTGGGACGATGATTTGAGCATGATTTCGAATATAGTTTGAATTTGTTTGTTTCGCGCAAATTCCGCCTGTAGGGGGACACGCCCGACCTAACACTGCTCCCCCCTTTCGTCCGGCCCGAGTCATCGCTCGATCCCCTGTGCTGCCCCCTCCTGCGCCCCCACCCCTCCCCTGGAGGACCGGGACGCCCTGGCGGGCATCCTGCCCGGCCACCCGACGCAGGCGCTTCCAGGGTCGGCGGCTGGAAGGTCGAGCGAGGTTCGAGGGAGGAGGAGGGAGAGGAGGAGGAGGAGGAGGAGGAGGAGGAGGAGGAGGAAGAGGAGGAGGAGGAGGAGGAGGAGGAGGAGGAGGAGGAGGAGGGGAGGTTCGAGGGAGGTTCGAGGTCGGGGAGATTCGAGAGGGAGGCGCGAGGAAGCTCTGGGTTCGAAGCCCTCGGACGTTTCTCACATGCTTCTGCTTCTGGGGCGCCCTCGTCGCCACGGATTCGCGTCGAAATTCTATTCGGAACACGCCCTCAGGATTGGTCGGGGAGGAGGGACAGGCGTCTTTTGAGCGACAGAGGGACAGGACAAGAAGCATGACCAGTGACAGTGGCACACGAAGTTCACACCTGAAAAGCCAGGTGCCGCACATCAAACCGCACGTGAAGGACCAGGAGGAGCAACCAGAAGGTTATCGAAGCAAATTCCGTGCTACGTCCAGGAACGACGTATGCAGGAAATCGGCGGCGAGCCCGGGGAGGCAGTGATAATGGGCGGGCCTTCTCAAAGGCCTCGGAAGTCCCCGGCCTTCTGAGCAGTTTTCGAAGCCTTCCTGGAATTCAACATATCCTCTCAAGAAGGCGCGAGGGCTTCTGAGAAGCCCCGCGGCCTTCTGAGCAGGCCTTCTCCTCGTCTCTCCCCCCCCCCGTTCGCCGCCGAACAGATTGCACACGGGATGCACGTGCCAAGCCTCAGACGATCAGACCACTGGCCAAGCTCACGTGCATGCTCCGACCTCGCCGCACCCGCTGGCACACGCCTCCGCCGCCGCTCGCGGCCGTGCTGGCCGCGACGGGAGCTGACCCGCACGACCCTTGTGCGCATCCTGCGCCTGCTGCCGACCAGCCGATCACCAGCCAAGCCGGCAAGGCTTCGAAGGTTTCTAGGAGCGTCCAGGTCTCCAGGGCGGGATGCGGAGGAAGGAGCAGGAGGGACGGGGCAGGGGGAGGGGAGTGGCAGGGACGATGGAGGGAGGACGGGGGGATGGTGCATTGGGTATTCCGCGGTTTCGGCACGTTGCCGCCCGTGCCGCCACGTGGGCGCCTCGTGGACGCCCCGTGATCTGAGCTTGCACAACACAGCTTTCACCACGCAGTTTTACTCGGCACGGAGAGAATGCGCCACATTGCCGCCCGTGCCGCCTCGCAGGCGCCTCGCAGTCGTCTCACCTAACTTATGCCGCATACCTTACACACCATAGCTTACATCAATCATACAGCTTACAGTGGAGGCCCATGCCAAGAAAGACCCTGCTCGCCCCCAGGGTGACCTGGGCTTCTTGGGTTTCGATGGCTTTGCTACGGAAAGCGTGACGTTCCCACACCAAACATCAATGGACGTCCTGGGGTCTCAGGGTTGGGTGTATTGCGGAAGGTTTCTTGCGGATTGGCCTCGTCTGTACACCCCCGAGCTCTCAGTTCCAGGTCACGTTGTTTAACTTAACTTGTACGCTACAGCTTACACCGTACAGACTGCACCGCATGTTGTGTTACCTTCCTAGCCCTCACCACATGGCTTACACGGCAAAGCTTTCAACACATAGCTTACACCGCATTGTCTTCACCTCCGCAGTGCAAGAACGCACTGTGTGTGGCCCACGGTGGCAAGCATCAGGTTCAATCAAGTTCTAGGAGGTCGAGCGTTTGTTGGTGAGGGGGCTGAAAGACCTAGGGCGTTCTCGGGTGCGGAAAGAGAGATGAGAAAGGCCGAGTAAGAGGGACGTGGAAGGGGGAGGAGGACAAGGGGGAGGTGGAGGACGACGAGAACTGGGACGAGTGAAGGGGGAGTGACGGGGTGGACCGGGGGCACGGCGGGTTTGTAGACACGGTGCAGAGGAACGATTGGGAGGATGGGAGGGCAGATGGGAGGGGGGTAGGAGGAGCAGACAAAGCAGGAGCGGAAGAACGGGAGGAAAGGGGGGAAAATGGGAGAGGAGGAGGTGGAGGAGGAGGAGGGAGACAACCTTGAGGACGTGATGAGGGCAGGGTGTGGAGCACGAGGGAGCAAGATGCGTCATCCTCATCCTCATCCTCGCGAAGCATCGGGGTAGGGTGCTCTGGGGGCCAGGCGGCTCCGCGCAGGGATCAGTGCCCCCCCTCCTCTCTCCTCCTTCTGCCCCTTCCCTCCTCTACCTCAACTCCTCACGTCTTCCTCTCGCCCGGGGTCTGGAGCGCGGCGTCGTTCGGGAGGCCTGGCCGCTTGTCGTGCAGCTGCGTCAGTCTGCGGCTTCGCCCCGGAGGTTCTGGCCCTCGCTGGGCGTGCCTCCCGCGGCTTTCCGAGCGATCCTACGCCTCAAGCGGGCCTTGGTGCTCCGAGTGTTTCGCCCCTTTCCGCGCGGGCCTTTTCTGGATGGGGCCCACGGAGGAAGACTCGGTGGAGCAGGAGGAGGAGGAGGACGAGGAGGAGGAGGAGGGGGAGGAGGAGGAGAAGGAGGAGGAGGAGTAGGAGGAGGAGGAGGAGGAGACCAGGCCTCCCAGATGGGGTCCGAGTATATGGGGTCGGAGGATCGCGCCGTATCGTCGATGCATCGGCGATGCGGCTCGATGCGGAGCCCGATGTTCTCCACGCTGGAGTCGCCGATGCATCGCCGACGTCGCCGATGCATCGCCGAGGCATCGGCGATGTATCGCCGATGTATCGCCGATGCGGTGCGACCCTCCGTCCCCATCTACTCCGACCCCATCTGGGAGGCCTCTGGATGAGAGAGCACCTCAACGCTGCTCTCTTTCGGCCCGAGGGCCCGAGGGCACCCTGGACTGCTGGGCTGCCGAGTGCTCGGTCGGTGCCCGCCTGGAGGGGGGCTGGGCTGGCGGATTGGGAAGGCCTCTGTCCGTGCCCTGGTCTCGCGCGGCGCTCGGGGGCTAGTGGTGCGGGATGTAGTATCCGACCGGATGCCCGTTGACGTGCATGAGTTCTGTGTGTTGTCCAGCATGTCCATGCGATTGTGTTGTGTCTTTGCTCGCCAGTTCTCGTATTCGTGAGTCCATTATTCACGCTGCTGTGCAATTACTTCTCCAAGGTCTCCAGCACACAGATTTAGGCCAGGAGGTATCATGCAAGGCTGACGCGGCGCGTCCTGGGGGTGAATTTATCGATACCCAGCTCTGTTTTGGGTGTTCGCGTTTACGTCTCACGAAGATCGGTCCTGGGTGTTGATCGGATAGGCCTTAACGGCCAGTTCTCTCGACCCCGACCCAGGATGAGGAGGCCTCGGGAAGGCCGCTGGGGAGCCGAGGAGCGCACGAGAGCAAGCCGATGATGATCCCAGGACGGCTGGAAGAGCGCCTTGAGATTGGATCAGATACAACATGTTGTACTACCTCTGCGCGTTGCTTTCTTTGCGCACCAGGCATGAATAGTGAATGGCAGTTGATTTTCCCTCGCGCCCTATATTGGCCCGCCCTCGTGCGAGCGGGGCGACTCGACGTGATTTGACTTGAACTACCTCTATCGAAGACGTCTACGTCGAATCACCACCGCCCCAATGCCTTCTGGAATTCTGGAGGCGCCCATGTGGCCGAACGCTGCGGCGCCAGAGCTTGGCCAAGCTATCGGACTGTGTGTTCCCCCAGCCGCTGTGGAAGCCCTTCGGGAAACACGTGAGGCGAAAGAAGAAGAAGAGGAGAAGAGTGAGGAAAACGATGATGATGATGATGATGGTGATGATGATGATAATGGTGATGATGATGATGATGATGATGATGATGATGATGATGATGATGATGATGATGATGATGATGATGATACTGTTGATGAGTATGATGATGATGATGATGATGGTGGTGGTGGTGATGATGATGATGACGATGATAATGATGATGATGCTGATGCGGATGCTGATGCTGATGCTGATGCTGATGCTGATGCTGATGCTGCTGATGATGCTGATGATGCTTACGATGATGATGATGATGATGATGACGATGATGATGATGCTGCTGATGATGATGGTGATGATTCTGATGATGATGTGGTAGAAACCAACGCCGGTGTGTTCCACCAGCAGGTGTGGGAGAAAGGATGACGCGGAGGAGAGGGAGAAACAAGAAGGAGGAGGAGGCCTCTTTGGAGTCTCTTGGGGCACTCGTTGGGCCTCCTGGGAGCTTCCTGGGGCATCTGTCAGCCACGCGCAGAGGGGGGTGGGGGGAGGGGGGAGGGCTTCTTAGAAGCACCCCTGCTTCTCAGAAGGCGCGGGCCTGATCTAAAGATGTAAGGCTGGCGCCTTCTAAGAAGCAGCCTCCTTCCAAGAAGCCCCCCCCCTTCACTCCACCCCCTTGTGCGCGCCGCCAAGAGAAGGAGGAGAAAGAGGCCTCTTGGGAGTCTCTTGGGGCACTCCGTCATGGGGGCCATCTCTGAGGCCTCCTGGGCGCTATTGGGGCCACCCTGGCGACCTCTGGGGCCGTGTTGGACCGCTGGAAAGCCGAAAATGAGCAAACGCCTACGTATTTCAAACACCTACGGAAAATCAATGGTTTTGAACTCTGCGGGCTTTCTTGGAGGTCCTCTTGGAAGCCTCTTGGGCGATCTTGAGGCCATCTTGGCCCATCGTGGGGGCATCTCGGCCCGTCTTGGAGACATCTTGTGGTCAGTTTAGGCCCTCCTGGGCCCATCGTAGCCGTCTTGGGGACCATCTTGGCCGTCGTGGAGGCTCTCTTAGGACCGTCTGGAGCGAGAAGACCGAGGTTCTGGGAAGTTTACGTGTCCACGGATCCTCGTGGAGCGTCCTTCCGGGAAGGTCCGTGGCAATCTTTATAATGGACCAGTATTGCCTAACATTCGGCACGCTTTGCACCCCTTGTGGCAAGCCATTGGGGGCGGCGGATCGAAGACGCCAACGGCAAATCACCGCCGCCCCCTGCCTTTTGCAACCGCCTGTGTGGCCAAACGTCGTGGCCAGAGCTCTGCCACGCTATCGGGCCATGTGTTCCCCCAGGGAACAC